TCTCACAGATCTCATAGCAGTGTGTCTCATACAGCACTGTAAATGAACTCTGATGAGAAGTATTGTTGCAGGGAAACAAGGTCCACGAAAGGCGTTGCCTGGTCTGGAGAGTTGGAGTCCAGAGTGAGCAGTTAGTCTAGTGAGGACAGATTCTTGCCCTTCCTACCTGGGAAGGGTCTCCACTCTAATTCCCCTCCTCCATGTGGTATTATATTGAAGTCTTAGGGCTGGTCACTGCTGCTGATAATTCATCAGCAGGGGCAGTAGGCAATCAGCCTTGGTGAGAGGTCCTTGTTGGGCCAGTGCCTCATCTCTGTGTCTGAAACCATGCCCACTTTGTCCATGAGGCTGTTGAGTGAAAAATGGGCCAGTCAATCTGCTGCTCACACACTTAAGAGTCTCATGCACAGTGGGAGTTCTTGACCATTCCAGCGATTGAGATCCAATGATTCTCTCATATGGGGGCCCGTCCTGAGATGTCCATCCACATTGCTCTTCCCACACTTCCTTTCATGCTGCTCACCATCCTTTCAAACTGGTAGTCACTGCCCATGACATGGTGGGCATCCTCCTCCTCCCAGGCCATCTCTACATAAAGTGGACATTGCAGACCACTTCAAGTGGTACTCCCTGGGAATGTTTCCTTTCCCCATCATCCCTTGACCCCAAGTGGGGCTGAAATGCTCTGGGAGTTAAATGCCAGCAGATAACAGCTAAACTGGCAGAGCCATCTGCAAACCAGATTTGGCCTTTTTTTCCTCCTTGGTGATCTGCTCATTGGGAATTCCCTGCGGGACCTTGATGATGAGGGAGGGGAGTGGCAGGCAGGAGGCGCCTCGCCGGATGAGGACTGTTGGTCACATACAGTCAGTGCTGGTCTATGTCACTGCCCTCTGATGAAGGCATGCTATCAGACTGAGCCCTCTGAACTCTTAGCTTGGTGGATCGAATCTCGGGATGGATAGTTTAGGGCACATGGTCACCTAAAATCCTATGGTCAAGCCCTTAGCAGCAGGAGTTATTTCTAAAAGAATAACTACTTGCATAAGAAAGCTTGGTTTTGCTCCAAAAGCCAAGAGGCTGCAGCTGCACTTTCCCTTTTAGGAACCGTGGCAGACTCCATACAGCATCCAGGCTGATCCCAGACTGGGCATCATTCACTCTCCTGGGTCCTAAGGGCAAAATGGAGAGCTGCTTCCAGAGTGCCTGGACTGGGTAGAGAGTTGTCTCCTTCCCAGGCCTCCAGGAGAAGTAAATGAGTCAGAGCAGCAGACCCAAAGCTGACACAGGTTGCATTCAGATGCCAAGTGATGGGATCTGTGCCATCGAGCATCTGTGCCTAATTCTTCTTGGTGGTAGCAAGATCTGCAGTTCCTACAGACACACAGTGTTGCTTTTGCTTGGTCATTTTGATAGGAAGGGAGAGCCTAGGGAGTATGTAACCTTAGTCTTTCAATAATAGACACCCCAAGCCCCTGGTTTGGAACCAGTGTGGATTCTTTCACTGCACAGGCAAGCTGTTCCAACCACAGACTCAGAAACTGGGGAAATAACCACATGCTTTTTCACTGAGAAAATGGAAGTGGTCGGAAGACTTCCACAGTCTTTCACCACCACATCCGCCCACCTTCCAGCATCTGCTCCCACTTACAGTCTGTTCTCCTACACTGCATGTTTCTGTGACAGGCATTAAATATTATTGCTAAGTAGGGGGATGATGTCACTGTAATATGGAAATTGGGTTGGATCACAAGTGATTTTTTCCCCCAGCACATTAATATTTTGTTCCACCAAATAAAAGCTGCCGAATGGGAAGGATGCCAGTGGGGTGAGCTGAATGGACGAGCTGCAGAATAAGGTACATGACGTAACGCTGCTCCTTCCTGGTCTTGGTGGTTTGGCCACAGGTTCTGTCTTGGAGGGGGCTTCCCTGATGGCTCAGTGGGTAACGAATCTGCCTGCAATGCAGGAGACACAGGAGGTGCGTTTGATCCCTGGGTTAGGAACATCCCCTGGAGAAGGAAATGGCCACCCGTTGGCGTGACTCAGCAGCTTCTATCCTTCCTTTTCCTAAATTCCAGCAGGCTGTCTTTGCCCTTTCTTGGGAAGGTGGAATCCTTTATTTTCTGATTTATTTATATGAAATATAAGGCTTTAAAAAAAACCCAACTATGTCAGTTTTTGCTAGCGTGCAGTTCGCAAAGTTGGATAGGTTTGGAATGGTCTGCCCCAACCCTATTTTTCCATAAATTGTTATTTTTAGTGCATGGATTTTGGACTGAAAAAGTGTTCAGGAACATATTTATCATATTATAGCAGACATGCCTGTATGTTTCTTCCCACTTGTAACCATGGAGAAATCATTCACGCTCTTATCGAAAGCTTATTCCTCCATGTATGGACTCGTGCCACCTCCTTATTCAAGGACGTTCTACCATTTGGCCCCCTTTTTCTGGCTCATCAGTTTTTTACCTTTCTTGGAACAGTCTCATCAACATAAAAAAAATGCTGCTACTTCTCTCATCTTAAAAGAAAAAAGAAAATCATTCTTTCAACACCATGTCCCCTACCAACTATTACCTCCAGTTTTTGCTCTCTTTTCAGCAAAACTAGTTGGAGTTGCCTATACACACTACCTCTGTCTGGTTCTTTTCCTGTTTTCTCTGAAGCCCAATCCAGTGTGGTTTTTCTCCTTCTCTACAACACCAAAACTCCCATTATCAAGGTCCCATATGACCTCTTCACTGTTAAATCCAATGGTCAATTTCCAGTCCTTCTCTTTCTAGGCTGGTTAGCAGTGTTTAGTAGTTGGTCACTCCCTCCACCATGCTCTATTTGCTTCCAGGCAACTGCTCTTGTTTTCCTCCTGCCCCATGGCTTGTTCCTTCTCAGTCTCCCTTGCAGATCCCTCTTCTGTTGAAGGAACCCAGGGCTCAGCCCTGCTCCTCTTCCTTTCTTTCCTCCACTCCATCCTTTGGTGACCCCATTCAGTTTCATGGCTTTATGCTGCAAATTCCCAATTTCCATCTCCAGAACAGACCTTCAGCTTAAACTGCAGATTATTTATTCAATTGCCTACTCAGCTCCTCCACTTAAATGTTTAATATGTATCTCAAAGCGAGCAAGTCTGAACCTGAACTTCTGATATCTCATACCAAGCCTGCTCTTCCCGTGTTGTTGTTCCCTGGACAGCTGACTGGAAAACTCAACTGTTCCAGGCACTTGGCCAAAAACCTTGTGGTAATTCCTGCGTCTTCTCCATCAGCAGATCCTGCTAGTTCTAACTTAGAAAATACATCCAGAATCTAGCTGCTTACTACCTGTGCTGCCACCATCCTGGGGCAAGCTACCATCTTCTCTTGCCTGGATTATTGCAAAACTTCTCAACTGGCCTCTCTACTTCCACCCTTGCCTCCCTACAATCGATGTGCCATACAGTAGTCACAGTGAGCCTACAATGCATGTTAGACTGTGACTTGTTGAAAACTCTATACTGCTGTTGAGTCAAAGTCTTCCTGTAGTCTTCAAGGTCCTATGTGATTTAACCCACCCACCAAACCCTCCCACCCTCACCTGCCCCTCACTTTCTCTTTAACCTCTCATTCTCCCCGTTATTCACTCTCCTCCAGCCACATGTGCTTTTCTGCTGTTCCTCAAACACATCAGGCACTCTCTCGCCACAGGGCCTTTGCAACGGCTGTTCCATATGCCTGGAACACTCTTCCATGTCCTTTAAATATTTGCTCACATTTTCAGTGAAGGTGGAGCTGTTGTAAGAAGAATGCAAAACATGTGCCCCCATCCTCCTGTGTTCCCGTCACTAGTTTGCTTTATTTTCTCCCTGCAAGGTCCCTCCACTTATCTAGGTTATCTTTGTTAGGTTATCTTTTAACCTTGCAAATAAATGACTTATGTCTATCATTTCTTATCTGTCTCCCCCACTAGATTTAAATCCTATGAGGGCAGGGATTTGCTTGGTTTACTCATAGCTCCAAGGGCTGAGAAAGTGCTTTGGCAGATAGTAGGTTTGCAATGAATATTTACTGTATGAACACACGACAGGTAACCGTCCCACTGGGCCCGCTATGAAGTGCTCTCAGGTAAAAACCCCACGTATCACCTGTACCCCACTCGCCCCACACTGACCGTGGACCTTGATAACTGAGCTGAGGTTACACGTTGCACCCTAGCCAGAAAACAAGTTTTTGCTTCTCTTTTGGAGAGGTGGGATTCACAAGGTGAGAATTTTCCCCAAAATGGAAACATTGTTCAAATGGTACTAAAGCAGCCATGAAGCTATGTTAGGCTATGGAAAAAAAAAAATCATATTTTTCATCAACTTCCTGTTTCTTTAAGAAGTGAACACAAAGGATGCATTTAATTTAAATAGGAATGAAGTGATAATGCTTTTAGGAAAAAACCAAACTTTACTTTCCATCATGTTGGAGCCTATTGGTTTAATTCATATTATTATTCCCACTGATGCTTTACATAATATGGGACATAAAAAATGTACTGCCAATAAAGTTCTTTTCATTCAAATGGAGAAGAAAATTATAGGTTCAAAAAAAAACAAGTTAAATATCAAAAGAAGTTGATATCAAAAAATAAAATTTCTGTTTCAAAAAACCTGACAGTGAAGATATTATCAAATTTGTGATGATTGAGATACACTTTACGGTGAGCCTCTGAAAACCTTGGCTTCGAAGCTGAAGCTTCTGCTTAGAAACAGTGTGGGCAGAGCAGATCTGTTCACATTTTGACAGAAGGGCAAGTTTAAGAGTCCTTTAGTTCAAGTATCTGTTAATTATCCTCTGTCGGAAACACTCTTCAGAGTGTTAGATGGAAGTTCTTAAGGAAGAACAGGCGTCCAGGAACCACAGCCCTGTTTTAGGGGAATCTGTCGACTTGGAACCCTCTGGCACTGTTAGGATCCCTGAGACGACCACCTTTTCTACTCTGTTCAGCTGACATGTAAGGACTCAGTGGCAGCAAGCCTGCTATCGCCCAGGGGAGGACGACTTCATATACTTGGAGATGAGTGCGTCTGTCTTCCCAAGGCTCACTCTGTAGCAGTCCACCGGCACCAAAGAGCCAAGCGGTGGCACCCTGGCCGAGCGCTCCTGGCTGCTGGCTGCGGGTGAGGATGGCGCTGGCGCTGACACAGCCGCTTTTTCTGCACCAGTCACGCGCTCTTCGCCTCCAGGTTCCCCTGTGCGGCCGCCCCGGGAAGCCAAAGGGCCGCTACTCGCCTCACCGCCCTTCAGGTGCCTGTGGTGATCTTCACTGAGTAACAGCACGATGGTCCCACCAACACGAAGCACTCTGGGCCAAAAAAAAAAAAAAGAAAGGTAATTAGTATGAGTATTTCTTTCTTTGTAGACAACAAACAATCCCACTTTGTTTAAAATATTTGGTGTTCTTAATTTGAAATTTAATTTTAGCTATTTAAATGCGAGGATTTTGATAATTAGGTAGTATCTTCCATGATGCATATTCATTATAGTAATTATGAAATCACTAGTACAAATCTGCTTTAATTATCTATTTTTACTCTATTTAAAAGGCAAGCCTCAAAGTAATTTGTAGCCACAGTTTAATAAGTGATTGTACAAAGGAAAAGGCAACTGAAAGGATCCTGAGGAATCTGAGTACATGAAAGGCAGCAGGCTGAACAACAGCAGAACAAAGGCCCCAGGAAGGAGTGAGGACAAACACAAAGAAAAGGCAGCAGGGAAGACCCGGAAATGTCAGCCTGTGGAGGAGGACTCACTTTCTCAATTGTCTGACCCAAGTCTACACAGCACTTATGTGTTAACAGTGATGGATAATGGCATACAGTCCCAAGTTGCTAAAAAGATGACTGAGCAGTGGGAGAGGGAGGCAAGCAAGAGCTAAAGTGCACGTGTGGCAAACGCCACTATCAAGGCAAGCGTGAGGGGCTCCGGAAACACCTTAGGTGGGACCCAGAGCTGGGCGCTCAGCCTGGGGAAGACTCTCAGAGGGTGAGAAGAGCTACAGTGGGTGTGACGGGCAAGCAGGAGAGAGCTGGGCCGAGGGACCGGCGGACTGGAGCAAGGGGAGGGAGCAAAGACAGGGAGTTGTGGAGAGGAGGGGGTACTGAAGGTAGTCCAGATGGAGGGGGAACCAGAGCGGGTGGGGTGAGGGGATGCAGGAGCTCTGTCTGGAACATGCTGAGCATGGGGCCCACAGACAGCTGGGCGTAGGGCCTGCAGGCTGTCAGAGAGACCAGGGCTGGAGGTGGAGATTTGAGTTTCCCATAATAAATGGTAGATAAAGCCAGGTGGTGCTAGTGATAAAGAACCCACCTGCCAATGCAGGAGACATGAGAGGCAGACTTGATCCCTGGGTGGGAAAGATCCCCTGGAGGAGGAAATGGCAGCCCACCCCAGTACACTTGCCTGAGAAATCTCATGGACAGAGGAGCCAGGTGGGCTACAATCCATGGGGTCGCAAAGAGTCCAACACAACTGAAGGAGCTTAACAAACACAAAGCAGCAATGGGGGATGAGATCGCCTAGGCTGGAAGGAGAGAGAGAGGAGAGAAGAGGGGTCAAGGAACAGGGACTTAACATTCAAGGAAGGATGGGGAAGGAAGAGCCCAGGACTCAGCCAAGGAGAAGGTCTGAACCACGGTGATACCACGGAGGCCAGAGGGGCAGTTTCGAGATGGGGACGGATGGTCTCAACGGAGTCAAATGCTATAGAACTAACAACTGATAAGGATATTAGTGACCCTGGGCAGCACTCCTAGTCGGGGGCAGGAGCCAGCGCTGGCCTGCAGAGGCAAGGCAGGGGGTTGGAAGGTGAGGATGGCAAGTATAGACTTTTCTCTGAAGAAACTTGGTTGTAGAGGTTAAGAAACCAGGTGGCAGCTGGAGGATGAAGACTGAAAGGAAGCCCTGCCCCCACCACGCCCGGCAAAGAGGTCAGGAGCTGACGTAGCTTTCCCTTATCTCAACAGTCCGCCAATCTAAACGAGTCTGTCTGCAGATGACATCACAGATTCATCCACTTCATTCTGTGCTCTCCTCTGCCCACACTATCGCAGCCTGACATCATCCCCCGACCTCCCCTTCCGAGTTCCCACACCAGAAACAATCGTACATCCCTGCGAATCTCTCAACCATTAAACTTCAAATAGACTCTTGACTCCCACTTGCCTGCTTCCCTTTGCTCACGGCGTGTCCCACAAACTGACCTCCCTCCTTGCCCCAGGACATGCAGCTCTGCTCTTCTGGGGCACTGACACCCACTCCATTGTGTGCTTCTCATCATTCCGGTCTCAGAGTTCAAACGCCTCCTTGGAGAGGCCTTTCCCTGAGCACCTATTGAAGGGAGCCACTGCGGCTCTCGTAGTCACTCTCTGGCAAAAATGCCGTCTTTAGTGTTCATCATGTCTATCATGATCTGAAATTATTCTGCAGATTTATTCATGATCTGTATTCCCACGCTGGAGTGCCAGCCCCACATGGGCAAAAACTCTGTCCTATTCACAGTCAGATCCCCACTGCCTAGTACTGTGTGGGTATGAAAGGCCACAAAAAATATCTGGGGAAGGGATAGCTGGATCTGGAGAGAATGAGGAGGTGGACAGGTTGAAGGTAAGAAGGAAGTAGGCAGAGAACAGTTCCTGAGGAGGCAGGAACCAAGGGGATAAACTCTTGCTATTGGGAGAGGAGGTGGCGAGATGACAGGTGTGGCTGGACACTGGGGGACAGAAACAAAAAACACAGTATCTCTGAACACATAGGAAAAAACACAATTAAGATAATAAATGAGACACAATTTTTTTACCTACCATATTAACAAAAATAAAAAAGACTACCACTCTCAAGATGGCAAGATTAGGGAAAAACTGAGTATTTCTAAAGACAAAAATTGATATAACTGTTTTGACAGTATCAGAGATATGAAATATACATAACCTTTGACCCAGCAATCTCACATCTAGGAGATTATTCTAAGATATAAGAGCAGAAGCTGTAGCAGTAGGAGAATAATAGTGACAATTAACGGCAAAGACGGCTAATATTTATTGGCACCAAGGGCTTCCTAGGTGGCACTAGCGGTAAAGAACCTGCTTGCTAATGCAGGAGATGTAAGAGATGCGAGTTCGATCCCCAGGTCAGGAAGATCTCTTGGAGGAGGGCATGGCAACTGACTCCAGTATTCTTGCCTGGAGGATCCCATGGACAGAGGGGCCTGGCAGGCTACAATCCATAGGGTTGCACAGAGTCAGACATGACAGAAGAAATTTAGCACGCACGCATGTATTATGTGATAAATATTGTTTTAAATGCTTTGTATATCATTTAATCCTTAGAATTCAAGTATATTCTGTTGCCATATCCATTTTGCAGATGAAGAAACAGAGGCACTGTGGTTTTAAATAACTTGATCATTATAGTCAGTTTGAAAAACTGTTTGTGCAAAGATGGCTCAGAATGTTATTCTTTATTAAAATGAAATGGTGGACGTTACCTAAATACCCATCCCTAAGTTCTATAGGCTACATAATGGTATATATATATATAATGCAACCACTGTGGCAACCACTGAAAATTATTATGTACATTATAACAACTGATCAGAAAGATTTATGAGATATTTCTGAGTGGAAAAAAAGAAAGCAGATTATACAGTGTAGTAAATTAACGGTGATCCTATTAATATAAAATTGAAAACATCTATTTGTGTATATGTACATGGAATGGTGTCTAACAGGACATTCACCAATTAATTCATTGTAACTTATTTCACATAATGGAAGAAAATAAGAAAGTAAAAATCACCTGGAATCCTGCTACTCAGAGATGACCATTTTTGATAAAATGTCCTTCTAAGCATCTTTCCACATTCATATACACATAAATTTCTTACTAAGAAAACTATTCAAAAATTATAAAGCAATATGTCCCAAACTGTATTCCTCTAAACACTAGGATAGTATGAGAGATTATTTCTTGTATATATAAAGAAGAAACCAACTAGAATTATGTGGTCAATAAGTTGGGGAAGCTCTGTATCAAACAACATAAAAGAGATTTCTCTTTTACATTTAAACCTGCAAGACTAGGGGTAGATGACACAAACACCCAACTTATTTGAACTTGGATGGCATTAGGCCTTAACCTTCTACCACTCATCTCAATTCCAAGCAGTCTGGTATATTCATTGATTTTTGAACATGCTTTTTGCTTCATTATTACCCAAGAAATACTTGCTGAATATCTGCATGTATAAAACATGGTGTGGTCTCCTTTTTCATTCTTTGCAAATTTCTAAATTTCACTGAGATCATGCTTCTTCCATGAATCCACCTCAAATCTTCTGGGCCTTTAGTGACTTCTTCCTTCAAGCTGAACAAGTTAACTTTCTAATTTTGCTCATCTGGTTGAGAAGAAAGCTCAAATATTATACTTCTCTGTATTTCTCCTTTGCATTCATGAAATTGTTATTGCTGAAGTAAATTAAAGGAGGAAATAACTGAGCTGAGAGTGCAGTGCTCACACCACCAGAGCAATCATCTGTCCTACAAGTTAAAATTCTGATTGCCTGTTCTTTCTTGAAGAATCCAGTCCTCTGTAACACTCAGGACCAAATATTTCCATTGCCTATTATAAACATGTTTATTTTGTATTTTTTCTTATTTTTAATATAATTGCCCTCCATTCCCTTCCATTTTACATTTAGAGCCTAAACTACTGGTAAATCATTGGGAAAAAAGTTATAGGTACTTTAGATATATTTATATATATCCCCACCTATTTCTCAAAAGCACTGGACGTGTTCTACACTGAAAAATCAGGTCTGAGCTAACAATTACTGAGAGCTTTCTAGGCACCTAGCACTGTCGTTGCTTCCCCGGTGGCTCAGTGGGTAAAGGATCCGCCTGCAGTGTGGGAGACCTGGGTTTGATCCCTGGCTTGAGAAGATCCCCCGGAGAAGGGAACAGCTATTCACTCCAGTATTTTGGCCTGGAAAATCAGCACTGTCCTAAGAGCTTCAATCTACTGACTCCTCAGGCCAATGCTATCAAGTAGGTACTATTATTTAAAGATGAGGCACAGGGTGATTGAGCAACGTGCCCATGACAGAAATGACAGAAGAACTATTGAGTACTCTGACTCCAGAGACTATGCTCTTCACCACTGTGTTACAATATATGGCCTGTATAAAACCTCAAACCGGAAAAAGTCAAAGGCCGAGGGCATGTGGCAAAGGACGCTTGGTCATAGGATCTAGGAATGTTCCTTATGTCCAAAAGCATAATTTTTTTTTCTAAATTTGATTTATTTTAAAAATTTTTTGCTTTTTAAATTTTTACAATGTTGTGTTGGTTTCTACCATACAATTCAAATCAGCTGTAATTATATATACATCCTTTCCCTCTAGAGCTACCCTCCCTTTCCCCCATCCCATCCCTCCCCATCCCATCACAGAGCACCAGACGGGGCTCCCTGTGTCACAGAGCAACTTCTCACCAGCTATCCATGTTACACACGATAGTGCATATATGTTGTCACTACTTTTTCTATTTATCCTACTCTCTCCCTCCCTGACAGTATCCATAAGTCCATTCTCTACATTTTCATCTCCATTCCTTCCTTGCAAATAGGTTCATCAGTACCATTTTGCTTTCTGGGAGGCACCTGAATTACATGGGAAATCTTGAATGTCTTCCTGATTCTCGCGAAAACATTTAAATTTCCCGAAACAATGTGAGGGTGGTCATATCTATTAGTTTCATTTTCAGTTACTTAGAATAAAAATCAAAACTGACCGAGAGAAAGTCAGGCTGGTCTAATTTTACTAGCAATGACTTGTGAAGATGTTTAAAACACACAGCACTAGACCATCAGGTAGGTTAAGCCACCACCACTAGTGGAAAGTTCCAGGTTGGGTGGAAAGTTTCATATTAAGTGTAACATGCTCTGACAGTAGTATCTCACCATGGGCTAGCTTAATAGTACAACTGGTAAGTTACCTCACTAGGCATAAAGGCTGTGGTTATTAATCCTGGTGGCACCCTAGAATCGCCTTGGGAGATACTAAGAAATACTGGATGCCCAGGTTCTACCCTGGACTGATTAAATCAAAGCCTCAGTGAGGAGGAGTGGAGAATGGGTATCAGTATTTTTCAGAAGCTCCTGAAATGATGTTAATATGAAATCAGCATTGCAAAATCTCGAGGGGAATGCTCCATCAAGCAGAAGAGGATATAGGAGCTCAGGAAATGTCTGAGTTACAAGTCAGGTAACTGTGGAAGAGGGTTGCGCACAGGCTCCTGACCGTGTACTATGTCGTCCTACACCATCAAACACTCAGTTGAGACAATTTAATACAAACTGACCCCTTATCCATGTCCCTTCATTCCTCTGAGTGTTCTAGGTTCTCTCTTTTATCAACTGAAATGATCAGGAAAATTCATATTCAGGTCTCACTGTTTGAACCTCTCAAAGAAGCACTTTCTCTTCACTGCACTATATTCCCTGAGGTTGACCTTAGAAACATTACATGACTAGCACTTCTGCATTTTCATTTCAAACCAACAATGAAGGCATCCATTCTATATGACTGAATGTTTCGAATGTAAATTCTCAGTAGCTCAGTAGCTCTGTGGTCTTGAGAAGGATAATATTTCTGGGTCCTGGTTTCTCTCCGGTAAAATGTGGGGGATTAACACATAGGAGGCAGGACTGGGGGGAGAATTAGAAGTAAATATGTAAATTAACTAGCTCAGTGACTGAATATATGTCACTATTTTAGATTTTCAAATTTTTGGCTATAATGAAAAATTATTATCTTTTCCTGAATAAAATTTATAGTATGATGATACAGAATAACTATATCAAGTTTATAACTATATAAACTTCTGATTTGAAACCTTAGAAAATTAAGCTATAAAAACTCTAGGAAATTACTAAAATGTAATCAAATCTTAACTGAAGAGCTACAGTACATTTTGGTTAAATGCCCCATGGCTCAAAGGTTTTGGAAATACACTTAACAACTTACCTTTCCATCTCCTGCACAGTCCTTTTGATGTCTTTTCCTAACTTAAACTTTTTTCCAAATGGAATATCTGAAATAATAATATCGACACTTTCTGAAGGCAATGGCAATTCTGAAATACAAAAATGAGAAAATTCTATTACAGTAAGTTCAAACATTTACAACCTAAATATGAGAAAACTGAAGTACACAGGATTATTTTTGCATACTAAATAAAATTTAAGGCTTCTAATATTGTTTCTAAGGAATGACAAGATCCTGAAGGCTTTCAGAATCACTAAAAATAGATGGCGCATTTGTTGTATTCTGTTCTTGAAAAGTGGTTTTTCAAGTGTAATAAAATATGACATAAGTTAAGCAGAATTTTAAATTAACCAGAAAGTTAAAACTCTTTAAAAATATTACATGAAAAGAAAATTGTTGGATCCAAGAAGAAATATATTAGGATGCCTAGAAAAGCCTTTTACAAAATTTATCCTATAACTTTCATTTTTCTTTTCACGATCATATATAAAATCTATTTGTAGATTATTTGTTTTTAAGAGAAGTGACTGATAGGTTTCACTGTTATTTTTAATGGCGACCCCAAAGGTTAAGAACATCCACTGAAGTCCTAAGACTACAGAAAAAGTTAAACAATCAAAAATCAAGAAAATGACATCACTAAAGCAAAATACAGTGTTTGATTATCAAATCTAAATTTCTTTCTCAACTTTACATTTTATTCTCAGAAATTAACATAAGTAATACACCCAATCTTAACTTTCACATTTTCTGAATATACTTTTCACTTTGTACTTTTTATACTTCTACCACCATCTAAATTTAAATAATTATTTTAATTTCAGACAGCACCTAATTCTATAGAAGTCCAATAGAATTTAAATAATCTTTACTATTCTGAATACAAATTTTTGTTGGCAGGAAATTTAAAAACAAAACAAAAATCCTGTTATCGGGGAAAATCTAATGAATGAACACTTGCTAACAGAAGAAAGAGTGGATTGTTAGAAGACAAGTAATGGGATAGTATTTTGTTAGAACTAGGTAGGAAATCTTTTTTTCCAAGTCATGTTTTAATGTCATGGTGGCTCAGACGGTAAGGAATTCGCCTGCAATGCAGGAGACCTGGGTTCGATACCTGGGTCCAGAAGATCCCCTGGAGAAGGGAATGGCAACCCACTCCAGTATTCTTGCCTGGAGAAACCCCATGGACAGAGGAACCTGGTGGGCTACAGTCTATGGAGTGGCAAAGATTCGGACACGACTGAGTGCCTATCACTTTCTTTGTCCATTTAGTTTTAGGGTATTGATATAGAATGGGGCTTCCCAGGTGGCTCAGTGATAAACAATCTGCTTGCTGACCCAAGAGATGTGGGTTCTATCCCTGGGTCTAAAAGATTCCCTGGAGGAGGAAATGACAACCCAATCCAGTATTCTTGCCTGGAAAATCCCATGGACAGAAGAGCCTGGCGGGCTACAGTCCATGGGACTGCAAGGAGTCAGATATGATTGAGCCAACTGAATACACACACACACATTGATATAGGACACACCCATCTGAACACTGTAACTATACCTTAAAACTACTAAAGACAATGAGCAAACATGGTTATCAAATGTTTATACATGAGGAACAAGGCAGTAATTTACTCTTGAGATCGAGCCCAAGTCTTTGGCTTACATAAACACACAACAAACATGAGTTGCCCATCTTCAGGTTTGGATTTTTTCCCCTTCTGGTTAGTCTATTTTCATTTGCAACTTTTCTACTCTGTATTATAATTTACCGAACTGCTTTAAATTGTTTTAGAAGATGAAGGAATAAACATCACTGAGACAGAAGAGACTAATCTTTTACATAGAATCAGTGCCATCTTCCAGTAATAGAACAGAAAATAATCTGAGCTTTTGTGCAGGCTCTGGTGTCAGCTTGCATTTGGCTCTGCCACTTACCAGCTGTGCGACTTTGGGAAATTATTGCTTTACTTCTCTCATCTGTAAAATGGGATAAGAGTACCTATCTCAGAAGTTAACATGTGAGGAACCTACAGAAAGTATCAACAGACATTGCCTGGCACACAAGGAGCAGTCAGTAATTGTCAGCTGTTAGTATTTACAACGTACTGTCTAGTGTGTATAAGGAGATGACCGCCAGGTGGAGCCAGCGGGTCAGAATCCTTCCAGGAAGCTCTGCAGAATTTAGCAATTCCTTCTCATGGCTCCTCAAAGACCTAGTGGGGCTACTTCCAGATGGGTCTCTTTCGAACTTGCCTTTCCCTTAGCAGTGGTTCTCAATGTGCAGTCCCCAGAGAAACACCATCAGTATCACCTGGAACTAGGGCCCAAAATTTTGGGCCCTACAGCCAACCTTGATATTTAGTGTGGAATCAGAATCAACTGAAGGGCCTGGTAGAAGGCAAACTGCTGGCCCCACTTCCAGAGATGCTGATGCATAAACTCCTAAAATCACGAGCACCTGACCCGTGAGAGTCAACACACAGTAAAATCTTTTAAATTATTAAATGTTTGAATTGCCTGTGAACAATGTAACTAAGGAGATAAAATTCTGAAATAGAAACATAACTTAAAACAAACAAGTAAAAAAATCATCTCTGCAGGATGAAAAAAAAGGTAAAAGACTGGTATGTCTTGAATAAAACTCTATTTACTCCCTCTTCTTGGGATAAGTTTGAGTAAGAACTGCTTAAAACCAGGATATAGCCCTAAGATATTTTCTCCCCAAAAGTTTTAAGAGCCTTTAAAATAACGTTCATGTATATATGTATACAAAAGACTGGGTAAACTTTTACAAGGTTGAGCACACCCTTTTTTATATTTTCTTTCACTGTACTTTGTTATTCTTTCCATCATCTAGGTTTGTAACAATGGCATTCTGTCTTGTAATTCTCAGTTGCTCAAATAGTTGTATATTTGATTCAATCCTTGTGACCAGTCATTTCACCTTGGCTTTCTCTATTCCTCAGTTGGTTCATCTCTTAAATGTCTGGGTTTTATTAATTTTTAATAATTTTTCCCCCTCTGACATGCTTGTTAGTGAAACGTTGCCTGAACTTGTTGTATTTGAAAATATCTTTGTAGTAAAATGACATCTTGGTTGAGCATATTTCTGGGTCCCACTTTGCCTTAGTAACCTTCTAAGTAGCCACTATTTCATTGGCTATTGCTCTATAACTTTGTTTCCATCATGGGCAGATTTTGAAGTTTACCGCATTAGATTATGCCTTTTCTTTATTTGATTGCTGCTGGTGAAATTTTTCTATTTATACTATTCTTTTTGATTTCATAAAATAGAGAATACAAATACTTCAATGAAGTTGAAATTTCAACGTGTATTCCTAATTCAGAAGTCTATAATTAGTCTTGAATATGCAAAATGTAGCTTGGCATCTGGGAGATGATTTTAAAGTGCTGTTGCCAGTTTTTTTTTAATGACTGCAATTTATCAAAAATTTTTAAAACTTAAAAGTTTTTTTGCACTCCATTTGTTGAATTGATTATAGCTTTCCAATGAATTCTGAAAAAAATGCAACTACAATTAGGCAACTAGTTTATTTTAAAAAGTTAACAACATATTTATAAGATACTCTGGCTGACATACAAAGTAATTTTTCAATAGTTTAAACATTTTTAAGAAAACTGAAGTATAGCTGATTTACAATGTTGTGCCAATCTCTGCTGTAGACCAAAGTAACTCAGTTATACACATACAGTTCTTTGCTTATATTCTTTTCCGTTATGGTTTATCCCAGGAGATTGAATACAGCTCCCTGTGGCATACAGTAGGACCTTGTTGTTTATCCATTCTAAATGTAATAGTTTGCATCTACCAACTCCAAACTCCCAGTTCATCCTACTCCCTCATCTCTTCCCCTTGACAATCACAAGTCTGATCTCCCTGTCTATGAGTCTGTTTTTGTTTTGTGGATAGAAAAATTGTTTTGTTTTGTTCATTTCTGCCATATTTTAAGATTCCACATGTAAGTGATATTGTCTTTTTCTAACTTACTTCACTTAGTATGATCATCTCTAGTTGCATCCATGTTGCTGCAAATGACATTATTTCATCTTTTTTTATGGCTAAGCAGTATTTCATCTCTCACACACACACACACACACACACACACACACACTCGTATATACCACATCTTCTTTACCTATTCATCTGTCGATGGACATTTAGGTTCTTTCCAAGTTTTGCCTGTTGTGAATAGTGCTGCTATGAACATTCGGGTGCATGTATCTCTCTGAATTATACTTTTGTCCGAGTATATATGCCCCGTAGTGGGATTGGTGGATCATACGATAATTCTATTTTTAGTTTTCTGAGGAACCTCCCTACTGTTTTCCATAGTGACTGCACCAACTTACATTCCCGCCAATGGTGTAGGAGCGTTCGCTTTTCTCCACATCTTCTCTAACGTTTGTTATTTGTAGACTTTTTAATGAAGGCCATTCTGACCAGTGTGAGGTGGTACCTAATTGTAGTTTTGATTTGTATTTCTTTAATACTTAGTGATGTTGAGCATCTTTCCATGTGTCTATTGGCCATCTATCCTCTGGAGAAATGTCTATTAAGGTATTCTGTTCATTTTTTTTTCTTTCCTTGGATTGGGGTTTTTTGTTTGGTGGTTGTTGTTGAATTGTATGAGCTGTTTGTTTATTTTGTAGATAAAGCACTTGTTGGATATGCATCATTTATAAATATTTCTCTCGTTCTGTAGGTTGTCTTTTTGTGTTTTTTTTCTCTGTGCAAAAGCTTATAAGTTTGGTTAGGTCCCTTTGTTTATTTTATTTCTACTACTTAGGACACTGACCTAAGAAAACATTGATAACGATTTATGTCGGGGAATGCTTTGCCTACACTTTCTCCTAGGATAGGAGTTTTATGGTATTATATCTTTTTTTTTTAATTGGAGGATAATTGCTTTACAATGTTGTGTTGGTTTCTGCCATACAACACTGCGAATCAGTCACAATTATACATATATCTCATCCCTTTTAAGCCTCTCTCCCACCTCCAGGGTTATGTTTGTCTTTAAGCCATTTTGAGTTTATTTTTGTGCACAGTATGAGGATGTGTTTTAACTTCATTGATTTACACGCAGCTGTCCAACTTTTCCAGTACCATTTGCTAAAGAAACTGTCTTTTTTCCATTTTGAACTCGGATTAAACATTTTAAAACCCAACAAATGATGGGAAAACAAAAAAGCATGTACTGTCAGGCTGAACTGCTTTTTTTGCATTCAACCATCTTTACAGATAGTCTACAGTTCAGTTACTCTGTGTATATTAAAAATTTTTTTTAAGTCTATTATTTTGATAACTTAATTTACTATTTCAATTCAGAACATCACAGCTTGTTTGGAGGTAATTATGAATTATGTAGGTACCATGTCAAATTCTAAGTACATTTCTGCATCATAGATTTCTTTATTTAATAAGAACATTAATCTTCACCAGGATGCTGTGGTCTACCAAACAATGCATAAACAGACACAGGTGTAGTGCTGAGCTCAATCAATAGTAGCGTTCACAATAATGAAAGATGTTTCATCTCTGACAGAAAAAAAATTCCTAAATTTCCAGAATCGGGAGCAGGGAGGAATACTAAACCATTACTGGAATTGACTTAGCTAATTTTCTTCTTGAAGGAAGAAACACCTATACATATATAGGAAATACCTATACATATATAGGTTAACACTGATACAAAACTGGTAACATTTAACTTCCTGCAGAGGTCTTCTGCTAATGGAGCCAATGTATTAATAGCCATAGCTTCATTTTGTTTATATACATAAGAAAATTTGGAATTGAAAACAAACAAAATTAATTTAGAAGAGTGGTCATTTGATCTAAATGAAAAGTCATGCTTCACAGAGTGACAGTTAAATGCATTTCTTTCTGTTGCATCTGATAAACACTTAATTTTGGCTTGGTCTCCTTAAAATAATGACGTAAGTTTTAAAGTAAATGCTAGGTGCCTCTATAAACAAGTTTATTTCATTTGGTTACTGCTATCACCATGGCCCTCACAGTGCATGATAAAAGTAAATAAACATTTTACTCCAGTTGTATGTTCATCAGCAGCTTTCTTGAGAAATAGAAACTCAGTATATAATATTTCCTTAAATATGCACTTTTAAAATCTTATTGCTGCTGAAAGGGTTTGTTACAGAACAGTGTTACCAAACAAAGGGATTTATAGCATATGATATATGATATATGATAAAGCCACTGGAGCAAAAACAGTCATATTCTCTAAGGTGGGCTTCTCACCCCCTATTTCCCACACACATTTCATGACACCCAACCTATCACTTCTCAACATTTCCCGACTTCCCAGATGCAAGGGCAGCCTGGCATCTTTATGAATTGTGCAGAATATGGTGTGAACCACAATACACCTGGCAGAACGCCAATTTTTCTGCTCCCCTTACTAGCCAAACTACCCAAAAGAATGGTGAGAACTAGCTGTCTTCAAGTTACCTTTTCCCATTCTCTCCAGATCCCATTCAGGCAGGCAGGCCTTTGTTCCTGCTGCTCCACGGAACCAGTCAGGCCTGAGTTTTGCTCCAGGGAACCGGTCAAGCCTGAGTTTTGCTTCACCAACCAGCAGCATCTGACACAGCTGCTCATGCTTGCTCAGATCCTCTCTTACTTTCTCATCCCTGGTTGTTCCTTTACTAGATTCTCACCCTCCAGGACTCTTAAGAGAGTCCTCTCATCCTCAGAGAAAGCCTCTCTCTCCTCAATTTGTGCTCATGTCCTAGGTGATCTCATGGATGTAAATGTTATCTGGACTAGTGATGTGCACCGTCTCCTCTAAACTCCAGATCTGTATGTTGACTACTACCTTGCGATCTTAATGGTTTTAATCATCATGTGGAACTGAACAGGCCCCCAACTCTTAACTTGTTCCTCTTGCAGTTTTCCGCAACTCCATAAATGGCAATGCCACTCTCGAGCTGTTCAAGTCAGAAAGCTTAGTCATCCTTGTTCTTTTTCTCACATTTAATCCACTAACAAATCCTGTTGGCTCTACCTTTAATGTATATACATATATATATATGTATGTATGTATGTATGTATGTATGTCTCTGTCTGACCTCTTTTCAACACCTCCACCAATACCACTTTGCCCTAAGCCACCACCATTTACCTGGATTATTGCAGTGGTTTTGCAATAAAAAGTCTCTTTGTTTCTGTCTTTGCTCTACTGTTTGTTCTTAAGATGGCAGTTAGACTAATCTTTTAAAAAGCTAGATTTATTTGGCTACTAGGTACAACAGAAAACTTTTTAAAATTAACAGTTGAGCACTTAACGCTTGTTTTTAAAGTGAAATCTTATGGAAATGCCCATGAGAACTGATGAAAGTGGAGCTGGTACAGCAGCGATGTTCTGATGGGCAAATTAGTACTTCCTTTCTCACGCTACCAAGGCACTTTGGAGACTGTAAAGGGTTTGAAAAACCATTGCTCTGGAACAATTGATAAAGCTATTCCATTTTTCTTGAAGATCTCAAAAAAAAAAAAAGCTTTCTTAAATTAGGGTATATGAAAACTTGATTTCAATCTAATCATCCCTCAGCTTCCTCTAGAAACTTGTGTTGCACAGAGTCCAATTAAAAACCTCAACAGAAAGATTGAAAAGATAGTCACTGGCAGCAAATAATTGTGAAACTTCAACCAACAATATAATTTCTTCTTTGAGGCTGCTTTATTATGCATTTATAGAAAAATTATCCTAATATTTTGTTAATAATGCATTTCTACTACTTTCCTACTACAATAGAATAAATTTTTAACAATATACTGTTTCTCTAGATTACAGAGACTTATCTACCACCTATTCTCACTGTGCCAAGAGAACAGGATTTTCCTAGCTGAGAATTACATGTGGTCACTTTTAAGGGAGAAAGGCATGCTGAGGGAGAGAAAGGAGGGATGTGAGGCTTCTCTCAGTCTGAATACCATGGGTGTTAGGGAAATATTATTTTGGACTCCATAGACTTGATTGCTCATCAGGTTTCTTGCTGCTGACTCCTCATCAGTAAACAGGGAGTGATGGCTTTCCTCTCCCTCACAGGGTGATGAATCCTGGTTTGCCCTAGGATTTCTGTTTTAGCACTGGGGGTAGTATCGGTGTAGCAAACTGGGATGGCTTGTTACCTCATTCCCCATAACACAGGAATACTATCCAACTGAAGCAAGGGGAAGGTAAGATAATTCAAGACATTTCATATAGTTTATCGCAAAGAATTCACAGATCCTCAGCAAATTATTGTTGCTATTATTATTATTTTTGTTTATTTTATGGCTATACTGAATGATTCCTGGTTATCATATGAGAAATGGTTCAGATGCAACAAACACATCTTAAGAAGACATGCTTTTACTTACATGCTTAGGGAAACTACATAAATATAGTTCTGGATAACGAATCTTTTGAAAAATAAAAAAGTTACAAATATAATATTGGAAGTAAACTGAGTATTGGCCCCACAGATATATTACAAGGTATAAATAATTCAACCTTTATATGAACATATGAAAAGTGAGTGTTGTTCTATATTATGATTCTAAATGTATTTATACATGTTTATTTCCCCCAAATGTTTGCATTTTTAATATCTTACCTATAACAGAGACTTTAAGTAACTCAATTTTATCCTTGAGGCCTGCAGCTTTCAGATTGTCGTATGCACCTGATAACTGTGAGTCACTGACATCAGCACCCACATAATACACATCCTATGAGGGGAGAAATTCAAATTATAAATAAAGCCATATTTTATGTAGCTAAGAAAATCTACTTGCATTTTTTCAAATGATAAAAATGAAATTAATAGATTTGTTAATTCAGATTAAAACAAATTTAGGATATTTCTTTAAAATAACTTTCAAGGACCAAAACCTGAGAAGTTTTTGGTAAAATGTTAAAACATTAATTTTTAACATTTTACAATTAATATTTTACAATTCAAATGTCTAAGGAATTGAGGGATTCATATAATGTAGGTCACGACTAGTTATTGGAATTGTCATAATTTCCTAAATTTATCACAGTATTTAAAGAAATAGCAGTAATATAATTAAGCTTTCATAGTCTACCTTGACTACAATAGTAACTCATATAATTAAAAAATAATAATCCCTAAATAGACAATCTACTTGTAAATAATTGGTAAGTGTATATACAACACATGATTAAAGTAAAACACTGCTTGGTTTACCAAACTTTAGAACTTACTGGCCATTCCTTAGCAGCTTCCAAAAGTATTGTTCCAAGTCCACACATTGGATCTAAAACAACTGCACCAGCCTATAGATAGAAATGTTGATTTGCTACTGTTAAATCTACTATAACAGGCATTATACAAGAAGCCTAAAACTTGAGGCATCAATCATTTCAGGGTAAAGATTCCTTTCTAAACTTGATTAGGAATTTCAGGTAGTTAAAGCCCTAGTGCAGGCATCTGCTCGGCACGTTTAAAGATCAGGCAGGAGGCCGGTGGGTGGGAGGGGAAGTGGTGATGCCGCCAGAGAGGGGCCAGGCAGCTCCACCAAGATGGGCTGTGCAGAATTACAACCACCACGTCCTGCAGGCTCAAAACACTGCAGCTCATGGTACGAGCCTACAGTACGACACCTGGGGCTTCTGCTTCTTGCCCGGAGAGTGAAACAGTGAAGGGGTCACGAGCAGAGGCAGAGAAAACACAGCTAATCAAGCACTGGCTTTTAAAGTGCCATCTGGAAGTGACGCACATCATTTCCACCAAGATTTAATTGGCGAAAGCATGTCAGTCGCGTGACACACACAATGTGAAGAGGTTAGGAATGCGGCCACCCTCTCTGTACCTGAGGGGAGAGCAGGAAATCTGGAGGAAAAAAATGAATGACTCTCCCCTCTGGGGGACAGAGGGTGTCACATCATGTCTGAGCTTGCAGGTGTTACAAGGATTCTGATTCGATTCTGAAGGATGGGAAACTACGGTAGGGTTCTGAGCAGAGGAGAAACATGATGTAGCATTTCAAAGGGATCATTCTGGCTGCCCTGTTGAGAAAGGACCACAGAAAAGTAAGAGAGTTAAAGGAGGCGAGTTAGGGAATCCAGGCAGAGATAATGGTGGCCTGAATCAAGAGTGACATAGGTGGAGGTGGGGAGAAGTGGTTGGATTCTGGGTATATTTTAAAGGAAGAACCAACAGGATGGATGGCAATGTGGCATATTACAAAATGACAATGTTCTGACGTGACTCAAGTTTTTAAGAGAAAGTAAAAAAAAAAAAAATAAGTCTATGGTCTGGATGCTGGTGATCCCCTAAGTACCAATGTTTGGTAGATGAAGGTTCAGCCGTGTACACTGAGTGTAGAGTACCCTGACACAGAACCTAGACTGGTCCTGAAAGGGGAAGCGTCCAACAAGCAGGAGTGATGACAGTGTCCACGTGCTAGTAGGATAAGCAAGATGAGTGGTTTCAGCGGAGTGCTAGTGAGAACAGCCTGAGGGGAGGGGGACACGAGAGTGTGGGAAGGAAGAAGTAGACACCAAATATGGACGGATGACTGGTCCTAAGTTTTCCTCTAAAGGGAAGCAGAGAAGGGGGTGAGAGCTGATGGATCATGTGGGTTCAGAAGGTCAATTCATTTTTAAGTTGCAAGATATTAGAGCATGTACACATGCTGATGGGAATGACCCAGTAGAGAAAAAAGTCCTTAAGGCAGCAAGAGGGAATGGAATCCAGCACACAAGTAATGGAGTGAAACAAGGGCAGTTCACTGATTATAATAATTATAATCCATTATGATTCCAATGTGTTGGTAGACCTCCTGAGGAGAACATGTTAAAGTTCTCTTTTGACTCCAATACTTATGTCACTTAAGAAGCAGGAGAATTACAAGTATGCTCAAGGGAATGACTGTAATGATAGAACCTAAGATCCAAGTGGTGAAGGAGGGCTGCGTACAGGCGGTGAATAGCGCCACCTACTGGGCTTCCTGGGTAGCCCAGCTGCTAAAGAATCTGCCTGCAATGCAGGAGACCCTGGTTCAATTGCTGGGTCGGGAAGATCCCTGGAGAAGGGCATGGCAACCCATTCCAGTATTCTCACCTGGAGAATCCCATGGGCAGAGGGGCCTGGCGGGCTAAGCCCACGTGGCTGCAAAGAGTCGGACACGACTGGCCTAGGCACAGCACGGGGCCACCAGTGACTGGAGGCCTCGTGGCGCTGACAACTGTGGCGGGGCACGAGGGGGAGTGAGTGGGGAGGAGGAGGACAAGAGCGGCATCTTTGAGATTTGGGAAGGGATGCTCTTCTGGCTATGATAAACTCTAGCATGTGACTAGAGCAGAACATGAGAGGCAGGCAGAGCACGACACAAAGGGGCCAGACGGCGCAGACACTGAGCTGATAAGGATTTCGGACAGGAATAATGGTGTATGCTAGTACGGCAGTGACAACAGGAGATCTGTAGGTGACAAGGATCATTGGATGGCATGTGCTTCTAAGGCGGTGAGAGGTCCTGGGCAGACAGGGCAGCGAGGTGCAAGCAGGACACCTACCCCAGCTCCAGGCCCAGAGGTCCCTTGGTCTGTCTACAGAGGAGGCAGAGTGCTCAGAAGACAGCGGGGTTCAGCCAGAGCCAGGGGCTACCTGATGAAAAGAAACAAAATGTCCTTCAGAAACTTCTCCCTGACACTAAATTCTACCACAGTGTCATATGGATCCCCCCATGAAGGGGCAGAAAAACAACAAAAAGAATAATGATTTAAACAACAATTTTAAGATTAATATCAGTATGAGAACTAATTTTTATTAAGGACTTAAAATGTACCAAACGCCATGCTCTTTTTCCCCACGGTCCCTCTTTGATGAGGTGATCTGCCCTTAAATATTTTTCAATGTCCTTATTTTACTGCAGGACTTTTCTAGTCATGATACCTGGGGACATAGACAGTAGCAGAGAAGTATTTCCAAATGCTTAAAGTAATAACCAAGATTTACATAGAATTTGATTTTCCTTGCTTTTATGGTCTGTATGACGGAGAATGGTTTACACTGAACATGAGAAATACCTAACACCCCCAGGCTTAAATTTCAGTTTCCATGGCACTGGCCTACTCAAGGTTGAGCTGCTTGTGCAGAGGTTTAGGTACCAAGCTCCAAAGAGAAGTCTCCTGGATCCAGGCTGGATATTGGGATCATTTATATGGTGGGTCACACTGTGTTCCCTCAAAAAGAACTGTGCTGTGCACATCTAAGGGGAGGAAGTCCCTCAAAAGCTAGAGAGAAAACAGGCAGAACAAACAATACACATCTAGTGAGATGAAACTTCTGGAGGGAACAGATAAATATGTGAAAAAAGTTAAAGCCTCTAGAGATATCAAATATAGCATGTGAGGCTGGCTAAGTTGCCTCAGACTCTGTGTGACCCCATGGACTGTAGCTCTCCAGGCTCCTCTGTCCATGGGATTCTCCAGGAAAGAATACTGAAGTGGGTTGCCATGCCCTTCTCCAAGGGATCTTCCCAACTTAGGGACTGAATCCAGGTTTGTTCCATCTCCTGCATTGGCAGACAGTTCTTTACCAAATAGAGCATGCTGCTGCTGCTAAGTCGCTTCAGTCGTGTCCGACTCTGTGCAACCCCATAGACGGCAGCCCACCAGGCTCCCCTGACCCTGAGATTCTCCAGGCAAGAGAGCTCCACACTGGAGCGGGGTGCCATTTCCTTCTCTAATGCATGCATGCATGCTAAGTCGCTTCAGTCGTGTCCGACTCTGTGCGACCCCATGGACAGCAGCCCATTCTGTCCACGGAATTCTCTAGGCATACACATACACAATTTTCCAAAGCTAAAAAAATCCATGATTTTAAAACTAAACATTTCAATCAAGTGCAGCACATTTTGGCAACTCTGGTTATACCTTGGAAGATAATGTCCAAGGAAAACTCAAAATACACAGGCAAAATATAAAGAGATGGAAAACATGTGAGAAAGGAAGCTTAACATATTTATCACTGGAACTCCAGAAGCAAAAAAAAAGGAAGTTGTTTAAGGTAAAAAACACTAAAGCAAAATAGTTGAGGAAATAATAAGTAAATAATGGATGAAAGAGTACCTGAGCTGGAGGAAAAAAATGATTTCTATAATTATTATATATCCTAAATAATAGTTATTATAATTACTATTACTGTTTAGGTCCAGGGTAGGATGCCCCAAAATGTGCTTTAATGGTATATTGATTATTTTGAATTAAAAGTTACTTAAGAAACAGCAGGTAAAAATAAATGATATTAAAAAGAAAATACACTCTGACCCACTTCTCTCCCCCTGAAAGCAGGAACTGAATCTCCCAAGTGAAGGCATCTTCCCTCTACCAGGAGGATAGAAAGCATCTTTATCACCAGAGTTAGGGAATTCAAGGCTGCATACATGAGAAAGCTGGATAAACAAACTGTTACTTCTTCACTAGTCTGCTACCCCAAGCACAAACCCCTTTGTTAAATCTTCACAAGCATTTCTTTGTCTAAAAATAATATATAAATAGCCTGCTTCCATCACTTCAGGGGTCCCACTTCTATGAGACTTTCATGCATACAAATTAAAATTTTTTTTCTCCTGTTAATCTGTCTTGTGTCAATTTAATTATGAGATCAGTCAAAAGAACTCAAGGGGGGATAGCGAGGTAATTTCTCCCTCCCTGACATTACCATAGCAGAAGTTAACACTTAGGTATTTTCTATATGCTAGGTGTTGTTCTAATCCCTTGATAAATGCTAATTCACTTCGTCCTCACATAGTCCTATGAGATGACTATTTTCATCTTGGAAGTGAGAAACGGAGGCACAGAGATGTTCAGTATCTTACATAAAGTTTCCCAGCCTGTAAGTGGTAGAGTTGGAACAGGAACTCAGGGAGTCGGACTCACCTAGTTCTGGGCTGAATAGAAAAGATACTTACACAAGTACATCTGGTAATATCCCTGAGATTAGAGGATTAAAAAGAAAACTCCTACAAGCTTGCAAACAAAAAGAACAAGATAGCTATCAAGAAAAATCATACTGGCAGGAATTGCTCCCTTAAAACACTGGAAGTGAAAGGATAATGGAACAACATCTATAGACCTCTGAGAGAAAAGGACTGCAACTTAAGAACCTCATACCAAGTCAAAGGGGGATACCCAGATGACAGGATGAAGTGTAAGGAGATACAGGAATCCAGAGAGTATATTATTCAAATACCAAGTTTGAGAAAAGTACCAAGAATAGACTATCCAAGCAACAAATAAAGCAGAGCAGAGACCTCAAAGGGAGAAAGATAAAGTGAAGAAGAAAGGTGAGAAGCAATGCACTTCACACTATACTTCTGTGTATTTATACAGAAATACATGTTACACATATTGCATCTTAATGACTATGAACGGGTTGTGTAATGTAAGTGCAGTATAAGAACTTTTCAAAACAGGAGGGATATACTTGGAAATGCTGATGCATAATAAATAATTTAGTTCAAGCTGGTAGTTGGGAGTAGAAGAGGGTAAACATATTTCAAAGGTCTCACTGTAGGAAGGAACAAAGGTGGGACAGAAGAAGAGAAAAAGTACCCTGGAGGTCTCATCTCATGACAAGGAAGAGCAGACAGAGGAGGAAGTTCAGAGTGTAGGTGGTAAAAAGAGTGTGCTGGCAAAGAAGAGTTGATGTCTTGTTTTAAAGTAAAAGTCAAGTCCCATGTGTTTAATTAAGAGAGCTGGGAGAGGGAGCCATGAATAGAATAGAACACAGAGTAAAATCTAACCTCAGGGAAAACAGTGAGATGATTCACTTGATGAAACTAGCAAAAATAGAGTAAACTGCAAGAAGTTGCAAAGTAAATCTATCATAACTAGTGTATCTATCATAATACTGTACTGAATTCTCTCACTGAAAAAGCCTATCATTGTGGGATAAAGACACAGTTCTGTGTTTATAAGAAATATACACTGAAAACAAAGTTGAAAAAGCAGAACTACAAAGGAAAACGCAAAGAAAAAAAAGACTGGAAATACTAATAAGACATGGTGAAATTTACGTTTAAACTTACAAATCAACATAATGAAAACTTTAATAACAATAAAAAGGAATACTTCACCGTGAGGCAGTTAACAGTCATAAATGAGTATAAACCAAACTACAGGACAAACAAACTACAGAATGAGGCAGCAATGAGTAAAAATGCAAAATCTTGAAAAATATAATCTAATAAATTTCAAAATACCTCTTTCAGTACTGAGCAGACAGTAAAATAGCAAGTAAAAGATACAGAGGCCATCTCTTGACTAGAAAATAAAATTATTTTCTTATGTTCATGGAGCATTTACAAAAGTTGATCAAGATCTTGGTTAAATTTTAAGAAGTAGAAGTTGTACAGGCCACATGACTGTGACAAAAAATTAGAAATAATAAAATGTAGTTATCTTTTGACTCAGCATTTTCATAGCCAAAATACTCCCAGAAGTTTGACAAAACCCTCTCTCTGCAGTTCGTAAGTATAATGGCGAGAAAAGAAAAAGAAAAACAGATTAAAAAAGGTTAAAAGAACCAAAGAAAAAAGAAAGCAACCATCAATAAGAGGCTGTGTAAATTAATTACAGAAAGGACCTTGGTATTCAATTAAAAGGGACGAGAACAGGTTCCTTACCTTAATTTCTGCGAGGGAGGCCATTGCCCAGGCTATAGTAGATCTCAACCCTGGTGTCTTGATGTAAGGTCTGCAGGCTAAAGGAACCCTAAAGTAAAACAACACCCAATGTTACTGCATGTTAACAGGATACAAACAAAAATAATTAACCCATTCATACCTGTACATCATGCACTGAAGTATTCCCTAAGTTAGAGAGTAGACAACCTTTTTATTAATACAAAATTACCTTCTCTAACTGGCACCTTGTCTAACCAGCCAGTGTGGTATTTCAGAATGGAAAATTTTTTAGATAACTGAAATTTAAACCCTTATGTGTTTAACTTAAAAAAATTTAATCACATGAGGGAAGTCTTTCTAATTTTATATGCTTCCCTGACTTCCCGTGTAGAATAGACCTTTTCTCACTGATCCAGAGTCATCAAGAGAAGTAAACTGCACTGTGGTGCGGATGCAGCATAGGACGCACCGCTGAATGGATGCTAACCCTTAAAGAATTTCTAAAAGATCCCTTTTGTAAGTTTGCCTTTTGCTCATTTGCACCTTTCTCTAAAGTTGGAATAAAGCTTGACACTGCATTGTCTAAAATAATTTATTGAATGAAATGCTGAAGCAGAGGACTCCCCAATGAGTTCACTGGTCTCCACTATGTATCACTTCATACTTGATCTTCTACCCCATTATTGCTAATATCGGTGTTTCCGTTATTGGATTTGGTACAGATTTTCAAAATATTATTTCTATGTTTCTGGTGCAGTGAACAACATTTCCTTGCAAATTTCAATGCACTTATTTATTTTATGTAAACAATTTATTGGTAAGACATGACATGATTTCAAAAATCAATGCTTGGTTGTTTTAGGGTTAGGCCTGTTTCAAAGCCACTCAGAGGGCTCTTCTACCAACATTACACAAAGCTACAGTGTTTTCCAAACCCTATTTCCTTTCATCATTTTTGTTCTGCTCTTTAAGCTATCTTGTTTTGTCTGTATTTATTGCAAGCTTCTTAAGATCTTAGAATTAGATGAGGTATGTCTTTTAAATAAAACAATGTAATTGTGTATTTACTATTATGATAAAGAAGCCTGCATGATAAAACTATGAGAGGCTGTTTATGTTAAAAAGGTTTTTCAGGAAATAAAATTTCACACTGTAAATAGTACTATATTTAGAGATTTGGAATCTGGGATATAAACTTTGTGGGTAGAAGAATTATAAAATAATTTGATCAACAAATCTTGCTTCAGCAGGCCAAGTGCAGCAATTATCTCGCTACAAAACACATTCAGTTCAGTTCAGTTGCTCAGTCGTGTTCGACTCTTTGCAACCCCATGAATCGCAGCACGCCAGGCCTCCTTGTCCATCACCAACGCCCAAAACACATTAGGTAAAACCAAAACTGAGAAATTACTTTCACTCTAGACACACACACACACACACACACACACACACACACACACACAAATAGAATTGGTATGGAAAACTGTCTTTGTCCATACACATTACAAAGTCCTTTTCTATGCATAGGGGATTTATATAGAATCTTTGAAATTTTTGACTATTGTGTGCATACTTTTGCTAATAGAGTTTTATTTTATGGGAGCCAACTCTATTAATATGTGACAAAAGGGAACCGATTCTTATTTTGCTTGGACAAAACTAATCTGCTATTACTTCAACAAAAGGGCCTCATTATATCAGTAAAATAAAATTATTCAGGGAAAAGAACTGGTCAGAAATAAACTCTTTGAAAATAAAAATAATTCTCTACTTTTATAGAACCTGGCTAATGTGTTTATTTGCAGTTTTAGCTGGCTTTTACCCCAATACAAAAATAAATATGGCTTTTGATCCTCTTGTCCTCATATATGAATCTCTTCTTTATTCTCTTACACACCATCTATCACCAAGTTGAAGCCATTCTCATCTCCATCTCTAGCCTAGATCAGTCCCCTGAATCCCAGATCTTTACCTTCAAATGTGTGTGGACACCTTTCACCTGGAAGTACTGCAAAACTTACAGATATAAACTAAGTATACTCTCCCATCCCTGTATTTCATATCTCCATACATTTCTTCATCTTCTTAGGCCATTTCCTATCTACAATATATAGGGTATCCCCATCTACATCTGCAGGGGTTAGGGCCTGGCACTCCAAAAGGCACTGAGGTAGGGAAGCCTGGACACCTCGTAGGTATAGATGTAAAATAGTGGGTTAGGTTTGGTCTGGGACAGTTGGGAGGATACTAGAGTAGGTGGGGGCCAAGGGAAGCCAACAGGGCCTTGAGACATGTGATGACCTCGTGTGTGTTAAAGTGACTACTGGTGCATGAATTTTGTAATCTTGAGGCTAGTGGGGCCTACCCTATAACTAGCACACAGCGAGAACTCAATCATTCAGCATTTCTTGAACATCCACAATGTCCTCACCACTGTGCTTATCAACTGCAATGGTGCACCATTTGATAAAACTGTTACAATGACCTTAAGCATTCTTTTTTACATCCTGATTCGGGCTTACACATGCAAAAATGTGAGCTTAGGGTCAATGGGATCTTTTTATGATTTTAAAAATATTCCATACCTAGAATCACCTAGAGAAAAGATATCTAAATCACTCTATACTATGTAAACATGGCTATGCATATAAAATGTTTTGAAGATGCTAACAATATTTACATGCTCCCAAGAAACTGCAAATCACTATTTCCATCATCCAACCATCCATTCCTTCCCAAAGCATCTAAGAAAGTACTGCTGTATGATAAGCATTCAATCAATATTTCTGAATAAGAAAGTGAATCAACTGCATTTATTATTGTATAGTATCCAACATAATGAGGGAGAAAACCTGAAGAAGATTTTAAAAACTGGAATTACTCTCCCATTAAAAAAAAAAAAAAAAACTGCAGTAAAATGTGAAGTATGTTCAAGATGAATTTTAAGAACTGTGATGTATTTTCTATTTTAATGAAAAATCCAAGAGGCCAATGGACTAAAATTTAGTTTAAATGTGGGCCCGTAAAAATAATTTAATTAAAAAATAGATATGATTTTCAGTATGAAACATGTAATCAGTCGATTATTGTGATCCAATCTTTCACATCAGTCCAATCAGGATCCAGTAAGTTCCATGCAAATACTTAACTGGTTCAAGCAAAGAACTCAAAGGCTTTTATTTAAGCTCCCTCTGATATATCAGTGTTTCATACTATGAATAAAAACACAAAGTTTTTAGTTTTACAAATTGTCCTAAGACACAAACCTGAAGCTTAGAAATAATACCTACCTGAACACAGGAATTCCCAGCACAGAGTAAATGTCACTTAGATGTATAAAGATCTGAAAGAACAAATACTGAAGTTAGAATGGACCAAGTAATTCATTACCCAATGAATGACAATTTGAAAGCTTCCATTTTGAACCTATACAACCTATATTTTAATAAGACATTCCAAGGCCTCTTCATATCTGAAAAAACATTCCATAATATTTTTTATTGAGCAGAGGCAAAGTAATTTTAAGTACATCTCATAGAAAAATTGTGAAGTCAATTTGGTAAACAACTTATATTGAGAATCACATTATGAAGAACTCAAGATCACTTTTCTTTACAGCTATTCTTTGAATTACCCAAACTAAATTAGATTTTTAAGCATTTTAGGTTAGAGACAACTACCTAAATCCACCCTAATTCTAGCCTCAGGTAAGACTTGATACCACGGTTAACAGAAAACCTGCTTAAGCCAAATATACGGTAGTAAGAGTGACCTTTCACTCTCTATTATTTATAGGGAGTATCTTTTTTTTCTTTTTTAAATTTTTATTGGGGTACAGTTAATCCACAAGCTGTGCAACTTTCAGGTGTATGGCAAAGTGCCTCAGTTATATGAAGGGTTTATTCCTTTCTGTCGTCTTTCTTGTTATTTTCCCCTCAGTTTTATTGAGAAATAATTGACATACAGCATTGTCTATGTTTAAGGCATACAGCATGAAGGTTTGATTCATGTATATTCTGAAATGATTATCACAATAGGTTCAACTAACATCCATCTTCTCATGTAGATAAAAAGAAAAGCAAAAAAGGGAAAAAAAAATTTTCTCACCATGAGGACTCTTAGGATTTACTCTTTACAACCTTCCTATACCACACAGCAGTGTTAGCTATAGTCCTCATGTTAGGTCATGATGAGGATTTAAATGCCTCACAGTTAATTAGTAGCCCACATAAATTTTAAAAGAATCATACTCCTTTAGCCAGATGAGGTTTATGGAATATTCTAACTCTGCTCTTTGACCTCAACAACATTTGACTCCTGATCCTTTTACTACAAAGGTATTTTAATATAGTTTAATCAGAATTATTCCAATATTGATAAGCTTTTACTAAGAAAATAATAATCTGGAATGAATTCCATTTAGTTTAATTCTTTGATCACTGAAGCTAAACTTTCCAATTTTTTTATCTTATTCATGTTAGCAAAGCTATTGATTGATATTCTTTTCTATTTAACAGTTGAAGTTATGATATACTGATATTTTTATATATAAATGTTATCAGGTACAGCTTTTTGTACTATGAAGTTTTCTGTTTTAATTATACAGAACAAAATTTGCTAAGATTTGATTCTTCTGTCAGTTTTGGTCACAAAGATTTTACTGTGTGTGATTCTGTTGTCGATTTTGTTTCATGTTGATTATTTCTACCAATAGCTACTACTTGCATTAAATGGATGATAGGAATTAAATTAGATATATTTGTTTATGAGCTAAACTATGAGAAAACTATAGTTCTGAGACAGTGAGATGGAGTCAGGGAGAGATGAGAGGAGGAAACCAGACAGAAGATAAGAAAACTAGAAACAGGGAGATGAAGGAAGACACGCTTATATGAAAAGATTCTCGGCATCAAAGTATTTTGCAAAACAGCAGTAAAGGATATACACTTGGCATGACTTTTTAAAAGCAAAAAATATCAAATAACAAAATAGAAAGCAACACAAAGTCTTCTGATTTGGCTGGCAATTACTCCATTTAAAACTATATAAAAATAATCTACCAATTAATGAATTATAAAAATGACTACTGGTCAAACTTATAGTTTTCAAAAAACATTGAAGGACATTTGTTATAGTTAAGAATTCATTTTCCCATGTGTTTACTTTGTTCCAATTAAAAATGGTATAACCTCATTAAATTAATTTTGAAAATAGAGAAAAGGGAAAGAAAAATAATCCGACAAGCCTAATAAAGTCACTATTAACACAGGTCTTTTTGTTATCCAATTTTATTTTTTACATTAACTAGAATTTCTTATTATAGACATTTATTATGTATTATAGTGATTATAGGAGAAGGCAATGGCACCCCACTCCAGTACTCTTGCCTGGAAAATCCCATGGACGGAGGAGCCTGGTGGGCTGCAGTCCACGGGGTCGCTAAGTCGGACATGACTGAGCGACTTCACTTTCACTTTTCACTTTAATGCACTGGAGAAGGAAATGGCAACCCACTCCAGTGTTCTTGCCTGGAGAATCCAAGGGACGGGGGAGCCTGGTGGGCTTCTGTCTATGGGGTCGCACAGAGTTGGACACGACTGAAGCGACTTAGCAGCAGCAGTAGCATAGTGATTATAGACGGCAACTCTAGTGTTTAGTTTAACTGCGACTAAACAATTCCATTCCAAAAGTTCAATTTAGAATGAGATGTTTTCACAGTGAAAACTACTAGCAAAAGAATCTGCAGTATTCTGTTGCTAAGGAGGAATCAGACTGCAGGATCCATGTAGACATGACTTAAAACTTTAAGGCAAAGTTAAAAAGCACAGTAAAAGTTGTTGACATTGCAGCTGTATTGTAATAACTTTGAATGGAGACAGATGGCTATTAGACTTGTGATGATTTTATAATGTATGCAAATGTTAAATCACTGTGTAATTCACATGAATCATAATATTTTATGTCAACTACAATTCAATTAAAAAAAAAAAGAATAGTTGGCATTGTCTTTAAAGAATTAGGTTATGAGCATTAAAATAAAATGAACATTCATTACCTCCAAATTTGGATTCCTCAAATCTGCTTTCCATCCAAACTGTTTCATAAGAGCAATTCCAATTACTCTTCCTACCTCCTGAAAAGGCAACAGGTTAAAAAAAAGATAAGAATACTAAAAATGAAAATTTTAAGTTTAAATGTAAGCAAAAAACTAACAGAGCTTGCAGGGAAATCAATCATACTATCTGATGGTAATTTAAGGTTACAATATTAAAATACTACACGAAAGCATTTTCTATTCAAGGCAATGAGGGTGCATTGTACTTCTTCCACCCCAACAAATCTTACAGTATTGACGTTTACCTGTGTATAATCTCTCTCGTAATTTCAGACACATGAAATAACCAGATTGTGGCCTGATAAATATGGTCATTCTGGGTTAACAGAGGCAAACCGAAAGATGAACTGGTTTAGCTATGGCAATCCTGTATGTTTAAAAATTACCCGTTTAGTAGGATTGGATTCACACCAAAGAGTCTGTCTGTTTTTAAGACTGGGCCCAAGGACCCACACCTATGCCCTCTATATCACTAAACTCTGCAGGGTCCGTTTGTGGTGTTTGCTCCCCTTTTAAGTACACCTCTGTATCTCAGTCTGGGTCCTGGGAAGATCCCACATGTAAGACCTGGTGCAGAGCAACCACTCGATCAACACAGAACTGAACTGAAGAGAAAGCCAAAAAGCTTAGGGCCATGATATTAGAATTTCCAAATGTAAACAGTACTATGAGTTTAAGGAAACTTTTAGAGAGAAAGTAAAAGGAAGTCTTTTCCTCTTAAGCACCTGAGGTAAAGTTAAGAAGGAAAATGCATTTTTAGAAGAGATTTAGTTATGTGCGATTAGGCTGAGCGATCTGTCTGGGCCTGGTTATGTATTCTGTGAAAGGTTTTCACCTCAATTTTGATCTAAAAAATAATTAATTCTTTTAGAAAATGGGAACCCACTCTGGGGGGCAAGTGTACCTGCGCAGTAATGATCTTTGCAATGGCGCCACTGCAGCGACAGGAAACTCTAAAAGTTAAGTTGCTCTGGTTACGAGTATCAACAGCTTCCGTTATATCATTCTGAAGTTCTTCTTGAAATTTTTCTCCTTCAGTGATAAAATTTCCTTGCTCCAATATTTTTTCTTCTATTTGTTTTTCCAGCTGGCATTCCTTAGTCTCTTGTATCTCTTGGATTTGTTCCGTTTTCAATTTCTTAGCAGTGATATCATCTTCTCCCACTTTTCTTTTGAGTGGGTTAGCATTTTTGTGAGAAAGTTTTTCCTTTTTTGCATCAAGTTCAAGAAGATTCTTCCAAATTGAAATGGCATTCAACCAACTTTCAGGATCATCATTTATAAGTCTTTGAAGTTCATTTAATATTTTTCCTAAATAAGTAAAATCTCAGTTTATCCTTTACTGAAGCTATTCACACCCTCAAATCCCATTACCTTTATTTCCTTAAAATAAGAAATGTTATTGTTACATGAATACTGATTTTCCTTTTATCTGGAACTTATATAATTTAAGAATATTGTGCAGAATAAAGTTCATTCACGTATTCCATACTTAACATCAAACCTGTTTTAAAATTCCTATAAAGTTACCTTTACTTTAGCAAGATCATTTGTCCTATGATAACATATGTATCTCTTCGATATACACAGAGACATACAATGTGTGCTGATCTCTAAAGTAATGCCTATAAAAAATTAAGTTTAAAAAAATAGAGTAAATTGCAAAACAGAGCTTAAAAACAGAGCAACTGAATCTTGAGACTATTTTAGACCACAAAATATTAGCACAGATCATAAAATGAGCTTCCATAAAGTAACATTTCAGATACACAACTCATTCATAACTTAGGAACTGGCAGTCATGCTTAGTAAGATGTAATCTTTTCTTGATAAACAAAGCCATCAAGATGATCAAAGAGCAATTACTGTAGTTCTTTAAAGACAAAAGTGTGTGGAATATTGGGATGAGATTATACTGACCTTACAATATAATACCTTAGGATTTGTTTTAAAACAATTTTTCTGCCCCATCTTGATTTCTCGCCATTTGAATTGCTCTTGACACAGTTTATTATAGACTATGTGATGACATGGTTTCTTGTGCACAAGCAGCAATCAGAATAAGGTTTAAGGCAATGTTTTATCCAGCCAGAGCTGATCCTTTTTTTGCTTTTGTCAATATCTTTACATTATTTCAGCAGCATATTTATAAAAGTAGGGAGTGGACAAGAAATCTCTTAAGCCCTCTTTAACTCTAATGCTTTATCAATTTAAAGTTCCCAAAACAGGAAATTTTACTATGTATTTTCCAATTATATCACTCTTCAGGTAAAATTTATAAGTTCTGATCAATTATTTAAATCAATGCATTTGGGGTTATTACATGCTCCTAAATCTAAATAAATGCACAAACCACATATAGCCTCAGAGAAGGTGTCTGATCATAAATCTCAAGGAAGAAACGTGACTTAGCACGCTAAAATCTCAGAAGGAAGGCAGCACATTGGTCAAAACTTGTAAAAGAGACACAATTAGGTGATAATATGCAGGAAATACAGAAAAATAACTAATTAATGATCTCAGGGGTATGAATGATTCTTAAAAATGTGAAATGACTACAATATTAATGCCAAGCAAAAGACTTTGGAGTGCACTATATCATGTAGGTAAAAGCAACAGGCATACACTTACCTTTATTTACAGAAGAAACAGGAAATGGAAGCTGCTTTTTAATCAGCAAAAATAACCTTTCTGCAGATTTCAATTGTTTCAGCATATTCAAGTCAGAACAGGTGGTGAAAAAAACTTTTCCTGAAATGTATTCAACCTAGAGATAGAAAAAATACATATTAATGTAGTTCAATGTCAGAGCAAGAATCATTTCCCTTCCCTCCCCCTTAATGCATTAAAACATAGCATCGAGACTAACAATAATAAAAATGCCTATTTCTGAAGTATCGACTATTTACTGGAGAAGGCAACGGCACCCGGCTCCAGTACTCCTGCCTGGAAAATCCCATGGACGGAGGAGCCTGGTAGGCTGCAGTCCGTGGGGTCGCGAAGAGTTGGACATGACTGAGCAACTTCACTTTCACTTTCCACTTTCATGCATTGGAGAAAGAAATGGCAGCCCACTCCAGTGCTCTTGCTTGGAGAATCCCAGGGACGGGGGAGCCTGGTGGGCTGCTGTCTATGGGGTCGCACAGAGTCGGCCACGACTGAAGTGACTTAGCAGCAGCAGGCACTCTGAATATGTTTTTCCCCCTCATCCTGTAACAACCCTCTAAGGTAGATTTTATCATCTCCATTTTATAGATTAGGAAATTGAGGCTTAGAGTGGTTAACTAATTTGTATGAAGTCACATAGTCAGTGACCAAGACCATAATCTTTCTGTGTTACCTTTTGGAAAGTGTGTGTGTGCACACTACTAAAAAAAATAGAACACAAAATACTGATTATCAAATTTCACACAACTACTAAAAGTGGGCAAAGGAAAGGCAAAATGGATAGGACAAATTAGGTGTCTAGACCAAGTTTAACCTAATCAGTAGATATTTATTAAACATCTACCTCATGGTCTACCAGGAAGCATACAGTATAAGTCCTAAAGATGAATAATAATGTAATAGGCATATACTAACATACAATTAAAATGTAAAATGTATAAGACAATAGCTTGCATTAAACCCAGGAGAAAAGTACAATGTTAATAAATGTTCTAATAAGTTGCAGGTACAATAAGCATTACTAACGATGGAAGCCATCATTAGGAAAAGTCTTGGGAAAGAATCCTATAAGATTTGGTAAGAGGGATTCTCACAAAAGAATGAAGGGGAAATACAGAGGTGGGTGTGACAACCTGGCTGAAGTGAACTGTAAGACAGCAAGGCAACCTTTGCTGTGTGATGCTGACTGATGGTGTCAGGTAGATGGATGTAGTGTAGCTCAGGCCCAGCTTGAAAAATGGTCACGGTTTTACTCTAGATGGTAATGGTTCACCATTTTAGACTTTTGATGAAAACTATGACAGCACTAAATTAGCTGGAAGAAAGATTTCTGTGGACGGGGCATAAAGGACTGAGTACTGAGTGTGATGCTGGAGGGAGAATTAGATTACTGAGGAAGAAATAATGAACCACTTGGCTGTGGGAACAGGACAATGGATAGAAGCAAGAGTATGCATCAGACTGAAAGAGGCTTTGAAGACAGGACAGATATGTGGACAAAGTCAGAGAAGAAAGGAAAATGAAAAGAGCATTGATTCAGAGTCAAATGAGGTACAGCACATGATGCTCAATGCCAATGGAATCCTAAACCTTTTGGGTCAGCCCACCCCCCTCAAGTTCAGGATGGATGTGGATGATCCTAGCATTCTCCTTTTAGCAGTGGCCACAAGCTAACCAACATGGTTTTAAGTCATCTCCTAGGACTGAGGCAACCATGGAATCAGGGGTGTTCCATGTGTATAGGCAGCTCCCACTCAGTGGGAACTTGAACTCCAAGTGTATGGTATGTTTGATCTGACCTGTTCTAACTAAGCTTTTAGGATGGTAATTTCTAAAGTTACATGCTAGCTTGATAAAGAAGAATCTCTGTTGGTGAAGCCCTAAGTTGATGACAATTAAAATCCCAATACTTCTAGAGTTACAAGATTAACAAGTTCTGGGATTCTGATGTATAGCATGGTGATTTTGGCTAATGATTCTGTATTACCTAGCTGAAAGTTGCTAAAAGAGTAGATCTTAAATGTTCACATCAAAAAAGTAATGCTGATTACATGATGGGATGGAGGTGTCAGCTAATGGTATGGTGGTCATCATTTTGCAACATATAAATGTATCAAATCACCTTAAACTTACATAATGCTGTTATGTATTATGTCTGAGTGTGAGTGTGAAGTCGCTCAGTCCTGTCTGACTCTTTGTGACCCCATGGACTGTAGCCTACCAGGCTCTTCCGTCCATGGGATTTTCCAGGCAAGAGTACTGGAGTGGGTTGCCATTTCCTTCTCCAGGAGATCTTCCCAACCCAGGGATTGAACCTGGGTCTCCCGCATTGTAGGTAGATGCTTTACCATCTGAGCCACTAAGGAAAGTTGTATTATGTCTATTATATCTAAATAGAGCTGGAAAAACAAATAAATTAAAAAAAACCCAAAGACGTTAACTACTAGCAATGTATCTAAGACAGATGGAGAAGTAGGGAATGAAAAGAATGTTTAGGAATCAATATTTAGGGGACAATGAAGTAACTAAAACAAGGACTTCTGGTTTTTACAATTTACTTCTTTCTCATTACAAAGGTGACATTTTCCCACTAAAGTTAAAATTGAATATATACCTCAAAATGCTTAGAACTTGGAAACAAAGTTTTAAAAGGTAAATTTTTTTGAAATTTAAATTTTGTTACTTGATCTAAAAGTATAGTTGATATTAAGCCATCACATGAAATAGCAGATTAAGATTCTGGGGGAACTGAAATAAATATTTTACTGTAAATGTATAGTTCTAAGATTCAAGTCTTATAAACAAACTGAAGCAAACATCTAGACCAGTGATTTTAACCTAAGTAGTCTAGACATTAAATTAGTTATTTAATAGTACAAAGATCTTATCTTTTCTCATTTACTTGAGTACCAAGGGAGACAATTTATATAATGAACTTCTAAAAATATTTTATTGGAGGGGGGTGTGGAGAACAAAAAAAAATTTTTTGCCTGAAAAATCAAGTTAATTAAGAGGACCTAAAAGGTCCTTTAATCTACTGGGGTGCTCAATCATAAGAATAATATGTGTTTAGTCACTTAAAATGTTAAATACATTCTAAAAATCAACACCAACACTGGTTTATTCTGTTTATTAAAAAAAATTTACATTAGGCCTACATTCCTTTTATAAGAAATGAGCATGTAATCAGAAGTAGTTTATGAAATGGTAAAACAGCCACTGTGAAAATCAATCACATGTATAAAAGTGCTTTTGTAAAGTACTTTTTGTAAAGTACTGTATCTCAAACTAGTAGAAAAATGAGTTTTGGTGTCTATGATTTCAAACACTGCTGAAGCTACTGTTACTCATTTTCTTTTTTTTTTTTTTTCATTTATTTTTATTAGTTGGAGGCTAATTACTTTACAATATTTAGTGGTTTTTGTCATACACTGATATGAATCAGCCATGGATTTACATGTATTCCCCATCCCGATCCCCCCTCCCACCTTCATTTTCTTTAGTTTATTGTTTGTAACTGATCATATTCAATTACAATAATTAGGGATGACTGTGGCATTTTAGAATATTTCACACTAGTATTTGTTACTCGAAAATTTATTTATATATCCAATCTGCTTTTTCCCTTTGGAATTAAATCATTAAAAGTGTCTAAAACCAACTGGTTTTATGTCTAACACTTCAGAAGATGAAATAACAGCCTTTATTAAAAGAAAAAACAGCTCTGTTGTCAGCTAGAATATCTAAGCAGTTAGTATTTTTGCCTTTCTTTTAAAATTTAGGGAGTTAGATCTAATGATCTTTTTGCCAAGGCAAAAAGGTAAGGTACAGTAACAAGGAGATACCAAAGTTTTCCTAATTCTACAGATGCCATTTAATTTTGGAATTGATTTTAAAGTGCTAGGTGAAGGACTGAGGTGGTGTGTGAGCTTTTGTGTTTCATTTTAGAAGAGAGAATTAAAAATATATATTTTACTTAATTTTTTAAAAAGTATCCAATCTATAGGGAATGCACAGAATCTTCAGAGAACCTTATGCAATCATCCCATCGAATGAAATAACCGAAATAACTTGACTATCTGCTTAACCCTACTGTGTGGGCTGTTTTGCTATGTGGGTTTATAAAGGCTGATTAATCAACTGACCGGGCCTCCTGGCTCGCTGGCATTGCAGACACCTCTACTACAGTGAATTTTAACTTCAAAATTACTGTTTCTACTTTTATTTTTATAGTAACAGTATTTAACACATTAAACAGAATTACAAAGCTTAATTTTACCCAATATATTTCTTTAAGGAATGCTATACACTGCATACTAGAGTATATATTCATATGCTATAAATTAAATATTTAAAAATACCCAGGAACCTATAAAGAGGCTTGACCCAACACGGGAGGAAAAAAATCAAACCTGAACGTGACCAAGTGCCAGCTATAACTTATAGGACTCCAATTTATAGGAAATACAGAAAGTAGAGAAACATGCGAAACTACACCATGGAGGTGCAAATGGCGAACACTGAGAACAAGCAGAGAGGACCAGCTTTCTAATAGTGAGGCATACGCGGGTTGGGTCAAGCCTTCTATTTTTCACACCAAGAACTCTAAGTGAACATTAAAAAAAAAAAATCAGTGCATGATGTCATGACTTCGCGGTGTTTAAGGAACCGGAACCGGGTGCCAGCCTGCCTGGGTTGAACATGATAGCATGCCTGATTTCACAGATAGCTTGGGTTTGAATCCCAGCTCTGCCATTTTCTGGTTCCATGACATGAATATTTTATTGGACTTACTTGTGCTTCATTTTCCATTTCTGTTAAATGTGGAGCTTACCTCAAAAGATAGGGTTGTTGTGAAAATTAAGTGTCTGACATATTAAATGCTTAACCCATGTCAGCAGTTGCTATTATATTGTTGCTTTTTTAGACTAGTTACATTCAACACTCTATGACGTTGGGTGACTAAAACCACAAACGGCAGTTAGTCTAAGTCTAATAAGACTGATGTCATTCTTCATGATCCTCTCTATCCTCTTCTCCCCAGTCATCATCACAGAAACTCCTCTTATGAGCTTTCAACACTTGAGGAGTCCTCGGAGTGGAGTGGTCAATTTCTTTCAATAAGCTTTCATTTTCCAAAAATACATCACTCACACTGTCATATATAATCCCATCAAGACTCTGGAACCTTTTTCTATTACATCCTTTCCCTGTTTTCAAGAAAGAGACTCAGCATGTACTAGAACGTAAACTGATGTTTACAACTTTCTTCATTTCATCGAAATTAACAGCGTAATAATACCAGCAACTGCTAACTTCCTTCTCTGAGGCATCCTAGAGTATTTTTCTAGCTACTATTTACTGAGGATTTATGCTGTACTTTAGAAAACCTTTATCATTGAATCCTCCCAACAGTCCTATGAGATAAACACAGTGTCAGGAAACTGACAAAAATAGCTGAACCTGACGATTATATTTGCATTTAAAAGCTGAAGAAAGAATTCTTACAGGTCTAATTCTAATAATAGGCACTATCAAACATTTTTCTTTTAAAGAATCTAGGAAGTAACTCGCAGCAGTCGCTCTTTAAAAAAAAAAAACTTCAGCTGTGACAGTGACAGATGCGCAGGGGGAAAGGGCTGACGGGTCTCTCTGGCAGTAATTAAAGGACCTGCCAGCAGAACTCCGAGGGCCAGGCCGTCGCCTCCGTGGGATCGCGGGCAGACAGCGCGGCGATCGCGTCGCTTTCGCGGGTCGAGGACCGACCCCAGCGGCGAGGGGCCACGGGCAGGGGCGGGGCCTGGGCCGCCCCGCTTCCCGCCCCGGGTCGCTGCGAGGCCGACTCACCTGGGTGGCAGCCAGCCGCTCCCGCACCTCCCGCATCAGGAAGGGCTCCAGGCCGCGGCCCGCGGTGCAGAAAAAGTGGGCGCCCGCTGCAGGCCCGGAGCGGGGACCTCCGGGAACCACCGCCATGGCAGCTCGGGGTCACGTGGCCTCGGGTGCGCGCAGCGCGGCCCCGAGGTCCCGGAGGCGGCGCGCAGGGGCCGAAGGGCCGGGTGTTGCCAAAGGCGAGCCAGGCCTGAAGGTCCCAGGAAGGTCTGATCGGCTGGGAGCGGCCCTGTGGGTCTCCTAGGTTAACTGATTGGAACCTGGTTGATTAGGCATCTGGAATTATTTAGACTCACAGGTGGAAGGGATGTGATTGGGATCTAAAACTGGGCTATATGTACATAGACGGTGGCAGAGTTCATTTCAGAAAAAATAAAGACTGTCATTCATCTGTTAGAGCCTTAGCAGATGCTATCATGGCACATCTTTGCCTCTGATATCATGACTTCTCTGTGCTAAAGAAATGAATGATGACTATAGGAAAGCAACATAAAATGTGAAAGACTGGAGGGAATAACTGATGGCGTTGCTTAAAATACCCATTAGATTTTACCCCAGTTCTTCCTTGGTAGTGAGATAGGGGATAAGATTACTGGTTTGTGCTAATGATGAGACATCCTATTCCAACTGATTGACTGTTGGTGTATAAAATAAATGAATAATATTTTCAAATGAATATTTTTTAAGGCAGGAAAATGAAGCCTTAAAAATGATTTCCCTATAACATCTGTAACTGCTACTCTTTAAATCACTATAACAAAGGAAGATACCTCAGTAATAGGTCCTTTTGTTTACCTTGGAGAAAACAATAAGTGGGAACTTGGATAAGAAGTTGGAAGGTGGATAAGAAGGCAAGTAAGAGTATAAATAGTGTACTCTTATTTTTAATCTTTGACTATAATAATATAAACAGGCAATAAAAAATATGATATGCATTAGCGTGGGCTTCCCAGGTGGCACTAGTTGTAAAGAACCCACCTGCCAATGCAGAAGACATAAGAGAGGTGGGTTTGACCCCTGGGTAGGAAAGATCCCCTGGAGGAGGGCATGGCAATCCACTCCAGTGTTCTTGCCTAGAGAATCCTTTGGACAGAGGAGCCTGGCATCTTACAGTGCTTGGGATTGCAAAGAGTCAGACACAGACAGAAGTGACTTAGCAGGCTTGCACGCATTAGCATAACTTTAAAACAAACTATATCTCTTACATAACTTTTAAAAATAAAGGTGTGAAATATTTTTTAAAAAGGGGATATACTGTCGTCTCACTCATCTGCGTAATTTTCAGATAGAGGAAATTGATGCTTAGAGAGGCTCAGGGACATTGAGTAAGGGACACAGCTCAGGCTAGAACCCAAGTCTTGATTTATACTGTACACACTGAGCTTTGTTCCATTCCTACCAACTCCCTCCCCCCATCTCCATCCCTCCCTACTGCTCTCCTAAGATAAGGAGCCAGGCTCTGTCTTCTCCAAGCATTGGGCCAAAACTGGGAATTCCTAGGCCCATGGAAATGTCTATTTCCATGCTCCAACAAAATGTCTTTATATTCATAAAACAGGTAACATTTCTGCACTAAATTAACTATCCAGTCTGGGCCACCTGATTTGATTGACTCTCTTAACAGTATTTGAAGAGGTGATTTTTTAAACTCTGAATTTTAAATTGACAATGAATACATCACTTGAAGACTAGAATTCATATTATTTAATAAACAGAAAATTAGCTCTGTAGTTATATAAATCAGATATACAGAAACTACTAAATGTGAATCTCTATCAAGTGTATCTCCTGTTCTTCACAATAGAATATCAAGTTCAGTAAGTGGATATTCCTCCACTCTGCCCTGCCCCCTACCCAGCTCATGGTCCACTAGGACATATTGTGAAAATTCTTACAGAGTCAGGTTACATGAGCTTTCCAAACTTCAGTCCTAAAACTCTGCAGCCTTGGCTCAGCCATGGTTCTATCCAGGAGAACACATTGCTGGCCAGTCTGAGGCTGGAGGAGTTATTTCTTCTGTCTTGAGCAGCACTGCCATGACCTGGCCCCTACTGATCTCTCTATCTCTTGATATCAACTCATATAATTTATGCTACAATAATTCACAATTTTTTAATGTTTAATGTTCTGATAAACAGAGGGCCTGAAGAACTATGGATGGAGGTTTGTGACATTGTACAGGAGGCAGGTTTCAGGACCATCCGCAAGGAAAAGAAATGCAAAAAGGCTAAATGGTTGTCTGAGGAGACCTTACAAATAGCTGTGAATAGAAGAGAATTGAAAGGCAAAGGAGAAAGGAAAGATATACCCATTTGAATGTAGAGTTTCAAAGAATAGCAAGAAGAGATAAGAAAGCCTTCCTTAGTGTTCAGTGCAAAGAAATAGAGGAAAACAATAGAATGGGTAAGTCTAGAGATCTCTTCAAGAAAATTAGAGATACCAAGGGAACATTTCATGAAAAGATGGGCACAACAATGGACAGAAATGGTATGGACCTAACAGAAGCAGAAGATATTAAGAAGAGGTGGCAAGAACACACAGAAGAACTATACAAAAAAGATCTTCATAAGCCAAATAATCACGATGGTGTGATCACTCACCTAGAGCCAGACATCTTGGAATGCGAAATCAAGTGGGCCTTAGGAAGCATCACGAGGAACAAAGCTAGTGGAGGTGATGGTATTCCAGTTGAGGCTATTTCAAATCCTAAAAGATGATGCTGTGAAAGTGCTGCACTCAATATGCCAGCAAATTTGAAAAATTTAGCAATGGTCACAGGACTGGAAAAGGTTAGTTTTCATTCCAGTCCCTAAGAAAGGCAATGCCAAAGAATGCTCAAAGTACCACACAATTGCATTAATCTCACACACTAGTAAAGTAATGCTCAAAATTCTTCAAGCCAGGCTTCAGCAATATGTGAACCGTGAACCTCCAGATGTTCAAGCTGGATTTAGAAAAGGCAGAGGAGCCAGAGATCAAATTTCCAACATCTGCAGGATCATCAAAAAAGCAAGAGAGTTCCAGTAAAACATCTATTTCTGCTTTATTGACTATACCAAAGCCTTTGACTGTGTGGACCACCACGAACTGTGGAAAATTCTGAAAGTGATGGGAATACCAGACCACCTGACATGCCTCTTGAGAAATCTATATGCAGGTCAGGAAGCAACAGTTAGAGCTGGACATGGAACAACAGACTAGCTGCAAATAGGGAAAGGAGTACACCAAGGCTGCATACTGTCACCCTGCTTATTTAACTTCTATGCAGAGTACATCATAAGAAACTCTGGGCTGGATGAAGCACAAGCTGGAGTCAAGAATTCTGGGAGAAATATTAATAACCTCAGATATGCAGGTGACACCACCCTTATGGCAGAAAGTGAAGAAGAACTAAAGAGCCTCTTGATGAAAGTGAAAAAGGACAGTGAAAAAGTTGGCTTAAAACTCAACATTCAGAAAACTAAGATCATGGCATCTGGTCCTATCACTTCATGGGAAATAGATGGGGAAACAGTGGAAACAGAGACTTTATTTTGGGGGGCTCCAAAGTCACTGCAGATGGTGACTGCAGCCATGAAATTTAAAGGCACTTGCTCCTTGGAAGAAAAGTTTTGACCAACCTAGACAGCATGTTAAAAAGCAGAGACATTACTTTGCCAACAAAGGTCCACCTAGTCAAAGCTACAGTTTTTCCAGTAGTCATGTATGGATGTGAGAGTTGGACTATAAAGAAAGCTGAGTGCTAAAGAATTGATGCTTTTGAACTGTGGTGTTGGATAAGACTCTTGAGAGTCCCTTGGACTGCAAGGAGATCCAACCAGTCCATCCTAAAGGAAATCAGTTCTGAATATTCACTGGAAGGACTGATGCTGAAGCTGAAACTCCAATACTTTGGCCACCTCATGCAAAGAACTGACTCATTTGAAAAGACCCTGATGCTGGGAAAGATTGAAGGCAGGAGGAGAAGGGATGACAGAGGATGAGATGGTTGGATGGCATCACCGATTCGATGGACATGAGTTTAGGTAAACTCCAGGAGTTGGTGATGGACAGGGAGGCCTGGTGTGCTGCAGTCCATGGGGTCACAAAGAGTGGGACACAACTGAGTGACTGAACTGAACTGAATGTTCGGTTTGAAACATTAAAAAAATTTTTTTTGGCTGCACACAGGCTTTCTCTAGTTGCTGCAAGCAGGGGCTACTCTTCATTGTGATGCTCAGGTTCTCATTGTGGTGGCTTTTCTACTTGCAGAGCACAGGCTCTAGGACTGTGAGCTGCAGTAGTTGTGATTCATGGGCCCAGTTGCTCCTTGGCATGTAGGATTTTCCTAGACTAGAGATCAAACCCCTGTCCCCTACATTGGCAGATGGATTTCCAACCACTGGACCACCAGGGAAGTCCTGATAATTTGCAACTTTGCCTACTATTTCTCCTTTGCTCATCATCCCTTCTACACACTTTATAAGTAACGTTTCTTAACCAGGAATATTCCTCAGAATGACGTAGGGAGTTGTTTCAAAACGTCCGGCTTCAATATGTCATCCCCTGTATTCTGGTACAGTTGAGTGGGGTTGGTGGTGAGCCAAAGCTCTTCTCCCCAGGAGGGAAACAGAGCTATATGCCAACCAATTCTACTGCCAACTTTCCCCAAATGCCCACTCTTTTCCCTCTCTCAGGTCTTCATTTATACTGTTCCCTTTGTCTAGAACCTGCTTCCTTTTCTTCTCTTTAAGCCTAAGCTAGAATACCACATCTTCTATGACTCTCTTTCCTTGCCTTTACTACATAAAATTATGTTTTTATCATTTATTTATCCATTCATAAATATTTATTGATTCCATGGCAATGTGTCAGTTGATATGATAAGGTCCTAGCCTTTGAGAACCTGTCAGTTTAATGGGAAGCAATGTGATGGTGTTGGATTGCCCAGAGAGACATATAAAGGATGATATATAAAATATGACATATGGGAAGGAAAGGAAAGCAACTGGGCCTGACCTGTAGTAGGCACTTTGTAGATAAGATTGAATGAATGAACTTATTCTGAAATTGAGTGAGCATTTGTCCTATTTGTGTCTTCTTAG